CAGATGTAGCTAGTCTTTACATTTTGAGTCTCTAACGACTCTGAGACACTCTCATATATGAAAACATAATACCAGAAAGAAAAACTGAACAGATCAATGATAATACTTTAGCCCAACTGATACAAGGAGCAACACAATAGCATCAAACACAACTTAGAAATTGACAATTTGTGGTAGTTATTAATCTATCACTTTTAACTATGTGAATTAAATAAAAATTGAGAACCAGCCCAATATATGTTTATAGTGAAAACTCTTCAATATAGCAACTTTACCCTTTAGGATGGGGACATAGAAGAAGTTGGGAAGAGAGGAATAGATAGAAAGATAGGATAAGGTTACAAGTGAAGCTACAGGATACAGGAAGATCATGTAAACTCTAGGAAACTGTTGAAGACAAGAGGGAAATACAGAAAGAAAAAACAAAGACAGGAGTAAAACAACAAGAGCAATAGGGAAGCTAGAAACTGTACTCACTTTCCTTTGAAACTAATGGCAATTGAGAGGGAAAAGAGAGATTAAAACAAAAAGAAGAAATCCAAATTAAAGCAGGAATAAGAACAAAGAGATGAAGAACAATGTGGGAGTGTGAGAGATTGAGTAAGAAAGAGAAAGAAAAGAGAAAAAAGAAAAAGGGAAGAATTTGAAGAATGGGAAAAATAAAAATTAAACAATTAAAAATTAAAATTAAAAATAAAAGGAAAAGAAAAAAATAATTAAAAAAATAAAATAAAAATTGAGGGCCTCCTTCGAGATATGTCTCTGCTGTCACAATACACAATGTCAGCAGCAGTGTGCAGATCTAAGTCAATGAGTCTCAGCAAGCCAGCAGCAGATCCCTGAGATTCAGGCTGATTTCTGGCTGCAAGGCCCAAGCTGAGCTCCCTGACCTCCTACAGGGTTAAACTCTGCAAGGTTCTACTGCAAATTCCAACTGTCCTTTCCCTGAAGGTAGTCTAGGTTCTGATGAGAGGTGGTGATCCTCCAACTTACAAACTATGGTGGTCTGGTGTGCCTTTACCACAGAGATTCTCTTCACTTCTCCAGTGGGCTTCAATTTTCATCAAGGAGCCTGAGAGGCCCACTTTCTGTACACTTCTGTTCTATCTTCTGAAGCTCAGTAACAATGGCCTTTATGACCCCCTGTGCCTCTGCAATGTGGATCCAGGCTTTAGCACAAACAGGAGGCCTGAGTAGGGAGGGGGCACTGAGGTCATGTTGCAGGGGCACCTGTTTGGCTCCCCTCCTCATCAGTCTGCACCACTTGGAGGCCAGGTGCACTGGGGGTGGGGTAGCAGCCTGTGGCTTGGCACTCCTCACAAGTCTGCCTCCTTTTTTTTTTTGCTAACAGTATTTTCCCCCACTACTGGAATGAACCTATGATCATCAAAGCTAGCCCATCTCCAATCTTTTATTTTATTTTTAAAATTTTGAGACAAGTTCTTTCCAGGACAGTCAATTCCACAGAATGTTGATACTACATGTGTGTACTATCGTGTCTCAAAAATACAATGCATTTCTTAATATTATGGTGATATAAAGAGTTGCATCTCTCAGGCTCATATAATCAATAGAACAACAAATGAAATAACAAAAACAAAACCACAATGATAGGAAAAACCCCACACAGATAGTATGAAGACAACCAATACCTTCTATACATCATAAATCAATATATATTTCCTGGATCTGGTAAATTTTACTATTTTATAATGGCCTGCCCATAGTTGGACCATTTTGGAATCATTTTGTTGCCATATATAAATTTTTGCCTGTTTTTAAAACTATTTTCACAGAATCTATTTAAACGCAGACTTTCAGAGATTTGAGATTACATTTTTATCCTTTTAATTATTGCTTTTTATACTGTTTTCTGAGCTCTTTCACATATATTTTTAAACTCTTAATGATACTTAAGTATATGGGGCTTGGACGAATATCCCCAATCCTTTTCCAGTTTTAAAATATTGACTTGCTATAATAATAACTGTTGACTTTTTTGTCAAGAACACTAATGACACTTAAATTATTAATAGCAGAAAGAATATGATCAATAAGAAACATTTCTTCGTTGTATGATTAAAATATTCTTTTGTTTTAAATAGTTCTGACTTTAAGAGACAGTATTTCTGGGCCAGGGATTTAGCTCAGTGATTCAGTGGCCTGACTGCCTCGCAAGCGCAAGGACCTGAGTTCAATCCCCGGTACCAAAAAAAAAAAAGAGATAGTATTTCCTACTATGAAATGATTAAAAGTAGTTTGTGGGCTAAAACACTTCTTTTGCATTTGTGATCTTTAATTCGCTCCTTTATTAGAAAGTCACCTAGCTTCAGTCCAGAAGAATGCCTCTAAGTAATTATTTTATGAAAATTACTTATTTTTATTTTATTTTGACAGCTATATCCAGTATTGTTCTTATTCATACTTTTTGCTAACCATGATTACATAGCCTAAAGTAACCGGCAATGATAATTAAAATGACAATGTGATATCAAATCATCTTAATTTTTAGTAAATTGATAGTCATATTTTGGCACAAAATGTTCTATTAAACATCAGACTATTGTGCAGTAATATGTTTATCACTAATATTCTCACTTGACTTACTATATAATTATTATTACAAGTTTTTATAGTGATATGATCTGATTAATTATGCATGTAATTAAAATATTGATAATTACTCAAGAAAATCTGTAGTGGGAATAGAACACTTATCCTCTCCTAAAATATTTGTTTCAACAGAATGGCTTAAGAAAAACAAAAAAAATCTAATTTTAGCCAAATATAAGCCTTAAACATACAACTAACTGTTCTTCACTATACTAACATAGAGCTGAGAGAAAATAGATACTCTGAAAATTATCTGGAATCAGACTTTGTATTTTTTTAAATTTTGAGTTTGGGTTAACTAGTTGCAAACATATGCCATTTTCTACTTCCCCAATCCTTCTTTCTCATCCCCAACTTAATTCTGACCTTCCTAAGATTTATACATTGTTTAATTTTCTACATTAGGACATAAGTAACTTTAGAAATCCTATGAATCTTAAATCAGTAAATTATAATATTTACTATATGTATAACTTTGGTAATTAACACTCACCACCAACCTATTAGAAAATTAGAAATGGATCCACAAAATTTAATTATTTTATAAGTTGGAAATTGAAATGATTTGTAAAAATTAAACACATAAGCATAAAGGTAAAAGAACGTTACTTACCTTATGGGAAAACTACAGTGAGAAGAGATAGGGGTGACATGTAGTATCACAAAAGCAATTGGGAAAATAAAATAATAAGCTAAAAGATGCACTTGTTTTCTTTTCTTTTTGATAGGAGATGGAGGCTAAAAAAGCAGTGCATAAATAAATACATTCTAAAAATAAATTCATATACATAATGCTTAAAGAAAAAATCTTATTAACTTGTGTAAAGGAGTAATAAGTATGGATCAGTCATATAAAAGAATATCATATCAACATACCATCCATAACTAACCTGAATGCTTAAGAACTAGAGCCTTATAACCTCTATAAAAAAATGTCACCTCAGGGTAAAAGAAACCAAAAAAGAAAACAGAATTAATTTTTGTTTTCCAAACACATTTTCTGGAAAATCAATTGACTTTGACTGAAATCACTCATCACTAGCGTATCCTCTCATCCTTAGCAATTCATGCTTTCTTCCACCTGTTCTATTTTCGTAGTAAAGGTTTCTTTCTCAACTGATAACATCTTTCAGTTATTCCTTATATCTACAGCCCATAAGGATTTCAGAGAGAACAAATATTAGGTACTTCTCTACACACTTTACTGATTTCTTTAAACAAATGTTAGTATTATCTCCTCAGAGGGAATCTATATCTCTAAAAAGTGATGAAACTGCCCCATATAGTTTTGGTATACAACAAGTACTATGAAGGGTTGTAAAATAGTACTTGTTCTCCGAATACCTGTGAATTAACTGATTCATTTAAAAATAAAGATGTCATTAGTCTATGCTATTTAATGACACACTACTAGTGTGTGTGTGTGTGT